CCCCTCTGAGGCTGCTCGTTTTCCTTCCAGGTTCGTCAGCATCAGCGACCTGTTTGCGCCGACCGATTTGGGAACGGAGAGCCAGGTTTGTAAGCGCGGAGCGCGCGGCACGGCGCGCGGAGGGAGCGCGTCCTGCCGCTCACCGGCCCCTTCCCTTTGCAGATCTTCATCTCTCGCACCTACGACGCCACCACTCACTTCGAGACGACGTGCGATGACATCAAGGATATTTATAAGAGGATGATGGGATCAGAGTTTGACTTTGAGGAGATGAAGCGCAAGAAGAACGATATCTACGGGGAGGAGGAGCAGCAGTAATGAGAATCTCTAATTAGGAGAAATTAAATCGGCTAATATGAATATATAAGGAACTTAATGAACACTGTATGAAATTCAATATTGTAAGGCCTGCTTTTGTAATCCCATCTCTGAGAGATTGAAGAGTACTGCACTGGTAATGTTCCCCTTTTGGATATCATGTGTTAATTATTTCATTCTAGTAGGGCTGCTGTCCAGAATCTGGCAAATTACTGACTGATTTAATGACTAACCTTGTTAAGTGGGGGGGAAAAAAGAGCCGACTGGACTTCTTTTGCGGACTTAGACATTGGTGCAGATTGGAATAACTCATTGACAGCTGTGTCTTACCTTGTATTTTTAATCATTTGTAAACATACTTCACAATTATGTGCTTCTGGTGAGCTAGTAACCGTGACGGTTGTCACTCGAACCTGTTATCAAGGAAAATAGAAACTGAGCACTCCATTATTGTGGACAGCATCCCTAGAGTCTCTCCCATCAATCTAACTCTGTGGCAAGTTGTATTATGGACAAAGCCCACATCTATTGTAGCAGCAACTGTTGGCATAGTTCTGGGCACAGGACTTAACCTCCACTTTCAGCTTCTCAAACTTGTTTACATCGGTTGGGACACAGCTGTGCCTAAGGCTCCTTTGTGTTTTAATCTAATAAAATTGAGAGAACAAATTACAGAGCAGGCAAGATGTGAAAGTATTTTCTGTACCCTAGTGGCTTCTCGGACGGACCAAACTGCGCTGCGGTATCGGTATGACAGAGCCTGTGCTTCTTGTGTCTCCTGAAGGCTCCAAATGATTTCTGTACTGCGAAGTAAAGCCAAATTCTGGAAACCAGTCCCGGGCTCTGGTCTGATTCACTCGGGCGCTGCAAGCAGCATCTCCGGAGCCTCCGCCTGCCAGGGCGGCCCTCGGAGCGGCTCCCGCTGGGAAACACAGGCTCTGGCTTCCTCCTCTGGCCGGGACGATGCCTTGGGCTGCCCTTCCTCCCTGCAGGGGAGGATGAGGGAGCAGTTGGGGTTGAGTTTCTCTCGCTCCAAGCGCCTGGAGGCCGCTGTGCCGGCCGCTCCGGTTGCTGCTGTTCATCTTTCCTCTTCCCAGGCTGCTGCTGCTCAAGAGGGAACTTCACCTTCGGGTCACATCCCGCTCGTGGGCTCGTGGTCGGCCCAACCTTGGCCCTGGGGGTTTCTTCCCTTCCTCCCTGTTGCCCTTAGGGGCTTTCAGGGCTTCCTCTTGCCCGGCGGCCCCGGCTGCCTCCCCTTGGGTTGGTTCACGCCACTTCCACAAGTGCCGCCTTTGCTGCTCTTTTAAAATACACACGTGTAAATTCCTGATTTATACATTAAAAGGGAAAAGTATCGTCGTCCCCCTCCTGGAGGCCGAGCAGGAACCTCCCATGGATGGAGCAGGAGCGCACGAAGCTTCCTCTGCTGCTTTCAGTAGTCAACCTCTTCACAAAGTCAGCCTGTACAGCCCTCCTTATATCATTTTATTTAAAAAATAATAACAATAATTACAAAAACGTGTCCCGCAAGTAGCTGCCGAGGGCTTCTCGGGGTTCCTTAGCGCTGAACTCTCCTCTCGGGCCGTGCGTGGGGGAGGAGACCATAAATAAAAGCGGGTGCTCTGGGAGGAGGAAGAGGAGGAGGAGGGTGGCCGGCCTATTTACAGACTTGTGTGCAGAGAGGAGGCCCTGAGGCCCTACCATTTTTCCTTGAAAAAGCATCAAAAATCGCTACCGTGCTGGGGCCCGAGGGCCGTGCACCAGGAAACGCAGCGGCCGAGCGGCGCTCCTGACGTTCAAGTAGGCGGTTTGGGGGCATTCCCGTTTTCCTCCTCCCCTTCTCCGCTGGAGAACTGAAGCTAAAAACTGCTCAAATAATTTAAAACCGTGTAGTGTTAAGCTCACCTGTCATACGCGCGACCGGGCGGGATTCGCCTTTGCC